ACTCATAACTTTAGCCATGCATACATTTGCTACAGCGTTATTTTGGAGCGAAATTAAGACATGAATGGTGCTGATGCCGAGCAATTGGAAAGAAACTGAAACAAATCGGCAGAAGATTCTAACATTGAGATCGTATCAACATCCTTTAAGACAGGCATCACTACCACTGCGATCGCTTTTTGGGTTATGCCATTTGATCAAAATCGCCATTTGATCAACATCGTCTAAGGCTCCGGGCAGACTTCACGCGATTTGATCGTCGCCTGTTACAACATCATTCCATGCCGATCAACTTGCATTCGGTTGTGATACTTTTCCAGCCCGACATTTTTGAATGTGAAATGAAAATGAATGGAAATCTTGGCGATTAGATCGCGACGATCAAGTCGCTTGAAGTCTGACCGGGGCCTAAGGCCCCGGGCAGACTTCACGCGATTTGATCGTCGCGACTGAATCGCGAGGAGACAACTGTTACAACATCATTCCATGCAGATCAACTTGCATTCGGTTGTGATACTTTTCCAGACCGAAATTTTTGAATGTGAAATGAAAATGAATGGAAATCTTGGCGATTTGGTCGCGACGATTAAGTCGTGTGAAGTCTGACCGGGGCCTAAGACAGGCATCACTACCATTGTGATCGCTCTTTGCGTTATGCCATTTGATCAACATCGTCCAAGACAGGCACCACTATCATTGTGAGTCATCAGCTCGGTGCGCTTGCACCGGCACAAAACGACGGACATGTTTACACCCCTGCCGCAAACGATGGCGACAGATGGGGGTGCTTGCGCTTTATATACAGGGTGTCCCAAAAGTAAGTACACACTTTTCAATTGTCAATATCTCTCTTCCCAATGGGTCTTTTTTGGCCAATCATTCTGTAGAGGAGGCTTCGTCTTAGATTTACAGTATTGATCGGATCACGGATCGCTTTTCGTTACTGCAGGATTACGGTAAGAACTTCCAGCATATGGAACCATTGTGAAATATGCCAACTGACAAAACTTTTTTCTAAAAATCTGAAAATTTGTGTACTAAGGTTTTCGCGCACGCTAATTCCATTACACAACTTTTTACGAGTGTTTTCCGCTTTTTTGACGGTGTAATCACATTTCTGACAAATACTGTTAATTCGGCTATTACGGTTCACATAGGATAACTTTGGAAAGAAGCATCACAGTTAAGTGTAAATTTCATAATTGAATGAGCGGCTTCCATTACCATAGTGTAAGAGTTTTTGGCTTGTTTGGTTTTGTTCCGAGGCAGATTACGGCTTCTATTGGCCTAAAATCTTTGTCGAAGTTCCTACAGTAGTCCTACAGTAATGAAGAGCGATCGGTTATTCGCTCAACACTGTAAATCTAAGTCGAAGCTTCCTCTACAGAAAGGTATTCGAATGGCACAAAAAGACTTAATGGGAAGAGAGATATTGACGATTGAAAAGTGTGTACTTACTTTAGAATTTTTGAAGTTTTGTGTTCACCAACTCCTAACCAAAGTATGACACTGATCGTTCAAACTTAACTTATGTGAAATTAAAATGGCTTTAGCCTTATACGCGCGCTCTTAAAAGCTACCACATTAGAGAAAAGTAAAATTGAACTGTAGCAACGAATACGACCGACGTTGATAAATTTTAGATTCAAATGAAGTTCAAAAATCACAATTCAAAATTCATGTGCAGAACAGGATGCGCTGAGCACTAAATAAACAGGGAAATGAGCATTAATACTTCAAACTATACGAAAATCAAAGACACGACATGAGCTTTGAACCTAGAGACATGTAAAGTGTCAGCTGCGTTGAACTCTAAATTCAAGTGAAGTAGAAATTATTCATTGCTGTCGTCAGGCATGAAAGGCATGAAAAGCGAGGATAGGCTTATTTATGCGCATAATGAGCTGCGAACGAAAATAATTATGAGATCTTATTTTCAAGAATTTTGGAAAAGTGAAAAAAGTCCAAAAAAACACGGTGCGTTCTGATCTAAATCTATGACTCAGCTTCCTTGCTATGATTCCATCTCAGCTTTTTCGTGAGCTGTCATCATTCTTTCGCATAGCTGTGTGCCCTTTTACTTCTCCATTTTTGCTAATTGAGAACTGATCTTATCACTACGTTCTTTACCCTCTCTTCCTTTTTGTGCACTTTAACTCCATCCTTTATTCTAGTCCTAGATAGTGCAAAATAAAGTTGTCCATGTGAGAACACTTCCGTCCCAAGGGAGATGCCTACGCGAGTCAAACTCTGTCCTTGAGCCTTATTTATCGTCATCGCAAAGGATAAGCGAACGGGTCGGAAAGGAAATGCTGTGTCGTTATAGTTGTCTATGCGAGGAATCAAGGTAAACTTTTCTTTCCGATCTCCGGATGCGAACCGAAATCCGTAGTGCTTCGGTGGTCGTGTTCATCAACGAACCCAGTGGGTGCCGGAACTAATGGATAGGCTTAACGCACGAGATCGGTATTCACGAAGGAACCTTGTGGGTTCGCGAACCCACGGAACTCACTGGGTTCGCGAGCCCAATGAGTTCCGGAACCCTCTGGGTTCATTGATGAATAAGGCCACAGGTAACACGGATACATTGGCTTAGTGCAAGGGATGGCCAACAAATAAGAACCAAATTTGCATACAAAGTCTCCGATACTTGCAGTAAAGAAATCATTCACAAGAGTGAGAGTAGTTTTTGTATTGATCTGTTTGACATCAGGCATGAGTGACATAAAAGTAATAACTTGCTAGTCTTGAAGGAACACATTCACCAAGTCTTATGTGCTTAAGAATAAACCTCATTCAAAGCTCTGCCTGGCAATAAAGGTTGCGAAAGCATTTCTAATGTGAGTTCATCATCAGAAACGATTGAAATTGGCTTGAAATTGTTTCATCTTCATACGAATGTAGCTTTCCCCAATATTTTCATGCTTTGCTTTTTTTGGAAACATGCAGCATGCAAGAAGTCGAGGACCAAAACTGTTTAAGCTATGTTTTGACTCAATATCTACCAAATCTCTAATCACTTTGAAAATTATGTTTGAGCATCACTGAAATAAGCAACCTGCAGAGCACAAAATGGGTGAACACGATCCTAATTTGACAGCGCTGCATAGGATGGAAAATATTTTTGAATTCTACATTAATCATTGTTAAAACAATGATTAATATTTTCTTGTGGGAATAAACTTATCATTGCTCAAGTTACCTTTCTAGCGCAATTTACGTCTTTCTAGATGTACGAACCATCCTTGAACAGCTCTGATGAAGAACTAATCGAAGAATCCTTTATAACTTTTGAAGAGGAAGAGAATTCGGTCGACGATTATGATGGAATTCAAGCCATAGAGGCTAGGAACGAACGGGATGACGAACAGGAAGCGGAAGGTTGATAACTCAGGAAGCGGAGGATTTAGATGTGGTGGAAGAACAACCAAGGAACAGAGTCTTCCCGGAAAGGGCTGTGCCTTTTTTGATCTCTGACGACATCTCCTTCAAAAAGGACTTCCGCTTCAACAAAAGAGTATTTTATAAAATTTGTGAGCTTGTAAAAGGCAATCTTGGACGGACAGTCTACAGATCGCAGCCGTTGTCCATCCCCCAGCAAGCTGCGCTATGCCTCAACTTGCTGGGGAGAAACACTAAACAAAGGGACTCGGCACGTATGGCCGGATGCGATCAGTTCACAGTAAGCCGAATACTCACAAATTTCGTTGATGCAATCGGCTTGCATGCTGCTGAGTATGTCTACTGGCCTGGAACAGACGAGCGAAGACGTATAAGCACGTGTTCGACTCCCACATTTTACCCAATATTGTGGGTTTTATCGATGGTACCCAAGTCCGAATAATCGCACCTCACGAAAATGAGGCCGATTATATTAATCGTCAACAGTACCATTCGATAAATGTCGGATTAATATGTGACGACCAATTGAGGTTCCGGTGGGTAAATGCGTCTTTCCCCGGATCGGCGCATGACGGAGTATTCCGGGAATCTCGACTCTACCAGGCAATGAGAAACGGTCGAAATCTTGACTGTCTTATAGGTGATTCAGCTTATGCGGTTGAGCCGTTTCTGATTTCTGATAAAAGTCGTCGAGAATCCTTCGACTCCAGCAGGCATAACTTACTCTCATCGGAAACCATGTAATAAATCTTCTTGTCAGAAAGCCGCTACAACCGCGCGATATGCGCGGCTCGGTCCCATATCGAACGGGCCATTGGACTCCTTAAGGGCCAATGGAAAATACTAGGAGAGGAGTACCGGTAAGCTCTCCTTTATCTTGCAGACGCAAGATCGTTGACTTGCAGATACAAGCCGGAGATGGCTACGAAAATTATTGCTGCCTGTACTGTCCTTAGAAATATAGCTATAGGATTTGATGAAGGGAGAGATGAGTTCGAACCGCTGCAGGAGGAGGAAGTTGAAGTTGGGGATGGGTCAGAAGGGTACTCCTTGAGCGGGAGAGCCTTAATTCGTCGCATAATAACGAATAACTTTATGTGAAAAATTTTTGGTGAATGTTTCGCGCTAATTTTGTAGGAAGTAACAAATGAAAAGTTCATTATCGCTGAAATTTCCTTTATAGTAATAAGCTATGAAAACAACACTCAGAAAATCTTTAAAACGAGAAAGCAGAAAAGCAGAAAAACCAGAAAAGCTGAAAAACATTTCTATACACATTCTCAATGAAAGCCACTTTAGCTATCCGGATTTACAGCGTTTTCCCCTAATAAGTGGGAATGCAGTTTCACAATCCTTGAGAAAAATCTTTAGACTAGGATTAGAATTTCATGCGAATGCTTTAAAAGAGGTCCGGATGATGAAAAAAAACACAAAGATAGGCTAGTTATCAAAATCATCAATGTAATCGTTTCCTTTCAACGCATTATCGACTTGCAACCTCAATTTTACGTTTTTCAACCGGGCATTTTCATTGAGAAGTCGGACATGCTCGATTTGGAGATGCAAAAGCTCCAAAGTCAATCTTTCTTTTTTTATCCTCATGTGCAGCTTTCCGTTTCTAATTCGCTGGTCTTCGTGATTTTGGGTTTCAATCTGGAAACAATATTTTTGGGTCAAGAATTCCCATTTGAACCTACGATACCGTGCCCTGAGGAATGCCGTACCGTGCCCAATACCGTGTCCCATCGAATCAGCCATGTGCTCAGATGTGAGCACGCGCAATGAACGTTTCGGTGACAGTTTCTCGAAGAACAACTGAAACAAAGAAATACGGAAGGCAGCTCAAGGGAAAAATAGTACATAGAGCAATCTCACACACCTGCTAAGGCAATTGTTGTAGTTGACAACAAAATCTCCAAATGAACAAAACACCTTACCACATCTAGGCTCTGGCCAACTGAGGAGTTTGGCAATGCGCCTCGATCAACTCCAATCCATAACTGTAATTATGACTTTTACGACTGCGTTTATAGCTCGTGAGAATATAGTAGTCTAGATACGTCTTATAAACGATTATCGGTCAATAAAGTTGCGAGCCCTATGAAGGGTAGATCTACAAAACAACAGAAACGGTTTCCAAATCCAAAAATTACCATTATCCACAACATCCTGTATATGGTCCGTAATCATGCACTTCTCTGCTCTCATCAAAAGAGGTGCTCTGGTGCTTTCATCTAGATAGAAATCAACGCGTTCATTCTCTTCTTTCAGTCCGCTCGATATAGAGCAAGAATTCGACGGTCTAGAAAAGTCGCTCGCAAGACTATAAAACTCGGCCAACAATTAAATCTTATTAAATGTTACCTCAAGTGTACGCACTAACGACATACTTTCAAACGTATAATGCGCGACAGTGTTGGTCAAGAACTCTTCTTCGAAAGACTAATTCGACTTACAATTACAATAAAACCACTGATAAAGCTACCTGGTATAAATCCAGTGTTCGCAACATACGCAGTGAAGCACGGAGTAGTGATCGATCCACCTTAAAAAAAGTTTCGTCAGATTTCCGGCGATACATAAGAAACTGTCAGCAAAGTCTTAATGACTAATGCAATCTCGATTACCACGGAATTTGAGGTCCCAAACTACAAGTGATTGCCCGATGTCCAAACTCAAAACTCTTTTCCCAACTTTTACGGTATGTGGATCAACAGGTCAAAGAGACGTACCATATAACGAAGAGATTATGCAGAAAAAAACACATACTTGATCTCCAGCTCTTTCTGCAGCTATGCATTCCAAAATTCCATCGAGCTTCTTGAGTACGGACCCATATGTTACGATTTCTTCGCGGAATATCACTAGTGAAGATTCCCTGCATTGTCAAAATAGCTGACGAGAATTATGACGGAATTTAGTTGACGATTACCATATTGGGGACTCATCGATATTATCGAGAATGAACGTCCTATCAAGATACAGAAATACATTGCGTATAAGGATCTGCAAACAAACAAGGAGTACTTGGTTGAAAAACACGCAAATGAATTCCAATAAAGATGCCATTTGTTGGCAATAATCACTCCATAAGCTTTCCGCAGCTTTCATAAAATCAAGTGCTTCTGCACTGATTTTCTCACTCAAATCGCTCCTGAAACGATTATTGAGCACTGAAATCATGGAAGTGCAAAGGAAAGGAATTATACTTGTTCACTGCACTGAAAAGATTCGTGCAAAATCTCACCTAAATCCTCGTATCCATTTTCGTACGTTCTCAGGTAATCTGTCGTATGCTCTTGCCATTTTGTTCTCAAATAACGATTCCACAACCTAAATATCACATATTATGTACGAGAGTACATAATATTAAGCGAGAAATGGCGTGCAGAGCAATAACTCTTATCGAAAACTATGAACAGATTAATACTATGTAATTCCCTACTAACAACAGGCGTTTTTGGTCAAAGCGGCCTTTCCATGAGAAACCTATACAAGACGCGTTTTTGAATGCTGATTCTAAACTTGCATTACTTTTCTGCGGAACAACTATTCGAAAGAAATTATGAGTGCTTGGAACAAAATTAGCGTGCAAAAACAACTGAAATTAGGTAATCAAATTTGTTTCTATTGACTACAGTAAAGGAACAATGAAGGAATAATGAAGAATAGTGACTACAGTAAAGGAGCACAGCCTATGGAAATTTGCATAGGTTCTTTGTATAGCTTTTGTCGATTTTATAAACTTAAGGCTGTGTTCATACTGACCCAGCGCTCGAATTGCACGCTGTGCTGGAACTGTTCCGGAACTTACGGATCAGTATGAACTAGACTGTGAGATATATTAGGTTGGCACGAAAGTTCTTGCGTAATTCAAACAAAATTCAGTAACTTTTCAAAGACTTAACCTAAATTCACAATCTTGTATGCTAAAAATATTAGAAGTCTTACGCTTCATGATGAATGTTTAAGCATAAGATTCCGTGAGCTGGACATCAAGAACGAAGCTCTCGAATATGGGGCTTCAAATTTTTGCGATTTTGAGTTTGGTGCCAGAAAATCGCAGAGTGCCACTAGCTAGCCGAAAAAAATCTATAGAATTTACTTACACAGCAAATGTCCATACGTTGTTTTAGAAGGCTTTGATCTCGCATGGTGAAGCAAAAACAAAAATTCGTGAAATAAGTCATTTTGCGGAAAAAATCCCCTCATGTCCGCAGTTTCCGGCGAAAACACTTTTTTACAACCGAGAAAACGTCGCAAGGCTCTAAATAGGCACTACGTCTAATTTCTGGTTGCAAACTGTGTTTCTGTGGAAAAGTTAGAGCGATAAGGGGAATTGTCCTGTGAAATAAGAATTTTCACAAATTTTTTGTTTTCGCGTTTCTATGCGAGATCAAAGCCTTCTAAAACAACGTATGGACATTTGCTGTGTAAGTAAATTCTACATTTTTTTCGGCTAGCTAGTGGCACTCTGCGATTTTCTGGCACCAAACTCAAAATCGCAAAAATTTGAAGCCCCATATTCGAGAGCTTCGTTCTTGATGTCCAGCTCACGGAATCTTATGCTTAAACATTCATCATGAAGCGTAAGACTTCTAATATTTTTAGCATACAGATTTGTGAATTTAGGTTTAGTCTTTGAAAAGTTACTGAATTTTGTTTGAATTACGCAAGAACTTTCGTGCCAACCTAATATTTAGTAAGTATCAGACACGCAAATTCCGGGCGCCGTTGCTTCCTACCAACATATTTCGTACATGAACACAACAAACAGTAAGTGAAACGAAAGAGCGCTCCATAAGAGAGACGGCGATACGTCCGCATTCCTTGCGTGCTAAAATCGTCTATACAAACGACTTCCAGCGAATCAAAACAAGCAACACGATGTTGTGACCGGATACACGGCCACCATCGAATGAAAATATCATAGAAATACGAATCAACTAAGATAAACGCGCTCACCAATAATCAAAAATAATAGTGCCTGTCCTGCCAACGGCCGGCGTTAGCACTTCTCCCTGAACTCTCCCTCTTTGATTAGAAATTCGAGTAGCTCTTCAAGATAACACCGGGCTTTTTCGGATGGGTTAGCGAGCCGCAAAGCAACCTCCAATTCAATGATGTCCAGTCTTTCAACTTTCTTCAGCGATTTTGTTCCATGAAGTCGCGGCTGTACTGAAATTTATGAACCATCGACGAAAAACTTTGAAAAATCGACATCGAATAACTTCTGCGCAACATTCTTAGGATGTCTGAGTGATATACAAAAAGAAGAGTGCACAAAATGAGCTGTAAGCCGAAGAAATGCAAAAGACAGCGTGAACGAGGCCACTTCAAAAATGCGTCAACAGGCAAACTACGTATGCGTCAACACGCTCTCATTGATCCTGCCCGAGTTACAACCCAAGATGAAAAATTGCGGGTAACTTACCCGGACGGGCGATTGTAGCGCCCCTGATTGAAATGTCACCGTTTGAAAACAGGAAGGTGAACGGGCAGACGATGGATAGTATAGGATTTAATCTGACTGTCATACATAATAATGTGGTGCAGGGCCTCTGGCGAGCATACATAGCGAGCATCAAGATGAGCTCGAATCTCGTCGGAGCACTGTGGGTGATCCTGTTGCAGCAGTCGCAGTGATGCTCTGTCTGGTCCCTTGTAGACGTACTTGTATAAGTACTTGACTGCTTGCACATAACCACAGATTTCCAATATGTGTGCATTAAGCAGCAGCAACAGGTAGCGATTATAAGGCACTACGTCTCTGTTGTCAAAGGTTTGATCTCTAGCCGTTATGCTACAACCGTCATATGGTCTTTTGTACTTGGGATAGCCGTCCACTTCAATGTCAGTAGTTTCTCTGAAATCCTTGGGGTATCGCTTAGAGCACTCCATTTACCATGCATGAAGCAGTTGGATTGTCTATACCACATCGTCGATGAATCATGTTCCTCGCGACTATGCTGTAAAGGCGGGCATTCTCAGATGCGCTTGGAAGGTAAGCCTGAACAGCTGCATCAGCAGCCTCCCAAGTCCTCGGTTTTGCATCTGCAGTCATTATAAGCAGCATATGGCAATGGGGAAGACCTCTTTTTTGCCATTCTACGATCCCGAAAGCAGCAACACAGCTCCAGATGTTTTTTTCGAAAAGGTGCGTTTGAAGGACGTCCAGCTTCCGTTTGAACACCCGTGTCACCAAATCTGGACGATCAGAAGCGGTCTGGCCAGGATGTAAGTTCTCAGTTATTTCTCTCCATTTTGGGTTGCACGTAAATGTAAGAAAGTTGTCGGGTTTTCCGTACCTTGCAACTATAGACATGGCATCTTGATAAGACTGATGCATGGCGCGAGGACAGCCTGGAAACGATGATGGCAAAATAACTCGCCGTCCTGGTGGTCCATCCACGTTATCGCTGGTCAAATGATCCACGAGTCCCCTATAACTGTCGATTTGCAGCTCTTTCTGGTGTGTACGCGTATAGTTAAGTCGATTTTGCTCAATTTTGACGTACGCATCAACCACAAATTGTTGCATGAGCTTTCCGGCGTGGTGAAGCGGGTTAAAAGATTGGCGTATGGCGAGCAAATATGAGTAGACTCGCGTTGACTTATTCGCGTGCGAATACGTCCGCTTGGATTTTTGGTCAAATCGATATCCCACCCTAATCCTCCCCTAGGAAATAACAGAGGGTAGGTTAGTGGTCACAACGACCGTCGATGTCTGGTATTATCTGGAGGTTTCCTCCTCTATGGTGAATAGCAAGAGGCGCGCTTCGATGGGACATCACCATCTTCGCCAACGTAAACAACGGCGATTTCGTTTGCGGCCGGTACATTATAACGGCGACGGTGCAGGTTAGGAGAATCATCAAAGATAAGGCGAATTGTTGGTAATTGTTCGCCATCTTCACGGGCGCGTCGCTCTGTCTGCAGCTACATCTCCCATCATATTGAGCGAAGCAGCATAACTGTTATTAGCATGTAACCATGAGGTCAACTGCTGCATTACAGTAGCATCACAGCGTACATTCGCAGGATTCCCACCTTTTTCCGCTGCTGCGGTGTCTGTGTCCAGAATGCACACTTGTCCAAACTGTGGACGAACACCTTCCGGTGGCGTCAGAGGGCCTACATAGTGATAGATCTGGCCGTGCATTCTGTAGCAGTTTGGCCCAGAACCACGAGGAGTATCTAAGCACCCATTGAAGCCATGGCAAGGGCGCTGTTATAAGACCGGATTTGCTCGCGAAAATTTGTGCAGAGTTTTCTCGTTCCAGTGTAGAATGAACGTAGAAGTTCCAGAAAATTTGCGAACAAATCTAAGGAGATGTTGCCGAAATTACAGCAGGTATCAAAGCATCCGTTTTTAGGTTTGGCCTCTCTGGAGAAAAAAAGGGCACCACAGCGGTTGCAGCTGGTGTTCATAGATCCCATATAGTTCTCTTCCGTGTCATGATTCGTCAAGGCTATACCAAGATTGCGCGGCGATCGCCGGCGGTGTACAGGGTTTCTTACAGAACTCAACTAAACATTTCACTTATCAATTTGAATTCACAGAGCACTATAATTACGCATAAATCAGCATACCTGGGTCGGAGACAGCTCCGTGGATGTGCTTGGTAAGACAGTGAATGGAATATTTGAGTGATGTTCCACATGAGAGTGACTGACTGGAAAAAAGAAAACTTGGCTCGCCATAATTTTGTATTCATCCATGTTTTCATGCTCACAGGGCGGTAGGCTTTAAGGAGGCAAAGCATTCAGGTTGTTCTCAATCGCTCATTCAAACGTACTTTCAAAGCAGGATCAGGAGTGAGTAGTACGTATTCATCATGTAAAGGCTGAAATTTAGAGTCCCTTTAGTCCACGACAGATGATTTTCTGCTTCCTACTCGATCTACCTGTATTGTTAGATCTTTCAAAGGTACGTAGGCAGACGTGGAAGGCAAAGGTTTGGAAGCACTCTCATCCAAATGAGGTACAGATGCGTTGTGTTGAAACTCATCTTCGGAAGTATTGAGTCTCTGAACATTTATGCCCTTAAGAACGCTATGCACTGCTCCTGATGCTCCTCTCGAGAACATTATGGAGTCATGTTAGCAATGGTACCTGGCTTATCAAATCCTTGAAGTTTATCACTGATCGTTGGCCAGAAAATGCATCACGGGTGCCCGAGTGCTGCAGCGGATCAGCCTGTCTCCTTTCCCTTTCCCAAGTCCCTGCTTGCTATAAATCATACCTCAGTCGTTGCTTCTTGGGTAGAGAAGGCAACAGATGCATCATTATGCGCAACATCAGAAGGATTGCCCTTGACAACATTGCCTTAGTTCAAAAAAAAATCCAAGAAATGTAAACCAACCGTAACATTTTCTTCCAGAACTTCTCTTGAGTTTGCACTAAATTTTTCCTGACTGCTATGATATTGTTTGAGCAAGTTGTTGTTTTGTGCACGTTGCTTTCTCCTAACATCTGCCAATGAACGCAAGCGCAATAATCGCTGTTCTTCCGTTTCGGTTGATCTTCTTGATTTACGTCTTTCTGTATCATTCGCGAGGCGTTCCAGTCTCCGCTCTTCGGTCTCTTTCATTCTTCTCAACCTGGATCTTTCGGCCTGGGCCGCTAACCGCTTCTTACGCTTATCTTCAGGTTTATTACGTCTATTGAATGCCATTTGTTCAATTTTCTTTCGCTGCCGCTCTTCCTGAAATCGGCCTATTTTTTACGACCTGTCTCCATTGGCGCTTTACTACAGATACCAACAAACATTCTCAATAACTATTCTCACCATGTCTAGTAGTGGCCGCTTCCGCAAAAATCTCCCTGATAACGGTTGAAGCGGCAACTATAATACCTCGTATTGTACACCTTATTGAAGTCCTCAAGAAGGCTGCATATACGATAATATTACCTCAATTTCCTCCAGTGGTCCGTGAACACTTTCATTCGGTTGCCCTTGAGAGCAGGTTGGCTGTTCTTCTGATTGTGGTCGTATAACGCGAGACTCCAAATGGTGGGAAGGCCACTCAACAACGTTTGATTGGGTTGTTTTATACATGTACGACTGTCTGCCATTGCTGACGCTTGGTTGCTTATATGATTGCAGTGCCTGAAACATCATACTCTATAATAAAGCGCGAGCACCCCCATTAACGCAACGGATGTTTGTAGAGATCTCTGTCTTAAGTTTTGGACGCTCGCCCGCTCAGACTGTTTACGGTTACGGTCCGACCCAGCCACAGCCGATGACTCATAACGGTAGTGATGCATGTCTTAGAATGATGTTAATCAGTGATCAAGTGGCATAACCAAATAATCACTAGACAAGGGCTAACATCGATTAGTATTATTTCCACTATAAGTCAAATCGCTTAGTTTCAAAAGCAACTTGACTTCGGATAGAATCGAGCAGGTCAGTTTACATTTCATACAAAATCGTTCTATCACTTTCAAATGCGCATCCATATGTATTCCTAAAAATCTGCTCAATCTGAATGATGTGCATCTACGTACGTATAAGTTACACATGCGGTGTTTATTTAGATATTGTTTTGTGAAAACAAATTTGTGACTCCCTATCACTATTTTCACTGATAGACCAACAGCTGCGCAGTGAGCACCTGATTCGCATCTTTCCAAAAGCTGAATTTGTTTCAATTTCATCGATGCGTTTATTCAACAGGTTGCACTGAATCCTTTTTCAGAGTTTGTCTTTACCTTAAATGCAGAGCTTTTGATATTTTTTGTCCCTCTATGCTCGAAACCACGTACTAATTGTTTAAGCAAAAAAAGCTGCATATTTTTTATGAAGAGAAATACAACATAGGTTTGTTCAGTTCCACAATGCTCATTGTGTTTCTCACTATAAAAAAGTTACGCCAAGTTATATTTGGTAAAGTTTGTTCCTCTGATTATTTGGGTGTGATCTGCATTCATATGTTTCTTGCATGAGCGGATTGCCGAATCCTTTTTTTGAAAGCTTCTCACAAATCTTAGCTTCTTGAGCATGATCTCTATCTACGATTTTTTCGTAAGAGCACTTCGTTTGAAATGTGTCCGAAACCAGAGACTATTATCGGATATCCTAACATAAAAAGGCTGTTTTTCCCCCATGTTTTTGCAAGTCTGAAGTTTTTCATGCTATAAAAGCTGCATCAAGCCTGTTTTTCGGAAAATTTATCAAATTTCAATAGCAAATGCATGCTTCCTGTCTTCAACAAATCGCACCAAAACTGCTTTTGACTTCTCGCTAACATTTTTAAGCACGATTCCTGTTGTTAGAATTTTGAGATGGAAATTGTAAACTTCTATCCGTTTGTCAAATGCTAAGTAAGTGTTCCTTATAAGGAAAACTACAAGGAATATGTTTTGTATCTGAAAAACCCCTACAATTGTCGACGCTGATTGTCTCATACTGTGTGTTTTTTAGCTTCAGCGGTGCTAAATATCGGTGTTAATAGCAATATCTCTTCAAAAATCTACTATAGCATTGAAGTGGAGGTGATACTACTCATGCTGGAAATGTCTACTACTCATGCTAGCCCAAAGCTTTTTTTTCAAGAGTGCATTTGGTCAAGACTATGAAGGTTTTTAGCAGTATTGAATCTGATTTTCAAGAAAGCGGGTGATCTATAAGCAAAAACGAGATATCGTTCAAAATAGTAAAGTCTCACTTAATTCATGTATGGAGTGTCCGAAAAATCAGCTACTAACTTTTATGCGATATTTATTGTCGAATCAAATGTCGAAAAGCTTCCTCTGCAAAGTTTGACATCATTTACTTAAAAAATTATTTGATTGTTGAGATCACTCGAAGAGATGGAAGTTTTACTGAAACAATTCGAGAAAGCTGTTGCACATCTTCAAAGCTCTTCCTACAAATCAGGCGTGATAGTGACACCCTGATAATACATTTCGAAAGTGTTGCGGAGTCTACTGTTTCGAAAAAAGGACACCTTGCGAGCAAAACGATGTATTGCAAGAATCAAAACACCATTCAAAGATATCATGAAAGTCGCATTGATGTCATGTGTAAGGCAAGAGTATAAGGTGGATATGCGCCTGGCTCTCTCGCGATGTATAATGTGAAATTTTGGCACTAAAATTTTTTTTGCAAAACTAAACATGCATATAATGCATGTTGTGATTACCCTAAGGGACTGATTCAGCCCTTTTTGAAACATTTGTGCTAAGCAATGTGAAGAAGCATCTTTGCATTGTTACGCATGCCTTGGATCCAATATGGAGGATATTTTTTATCTCCTAGAATTTTCGAGCAATTTTCGAAGTTTTTTGAAACGAACAATTGACCTAAATAAATGTTGCACTGTAATTTGCTGTCGACATATTTGTCACAATCAGAGTAATCAGGAAGCAGTTTCAAAAGGAGTTGAAGTCATGCATGAAGCTCCAGCAAAATCCAACAACATTGCCCTTAAATCTGATGCTGCCAAAGCACAGCTTATGCTAAACCTAGAGCAGCGGCCATGCTGTTCTCGACAGAATCTCAGCTTATCAAACGAAACAATTGAGGTAATTTTTCAATAGGAATTCTTTCATAGCTTGATTAACACATTGTAGCAACCACATGAACAACCGCTGCCAGAAGAAACGTTGCTTGAAAAATCGTTGGAAACAGCGAAGGTGAGAAAAGATACATTTCGCGTGAGTGCAAACCCGTCTATTTTAGAAACATATGCAGCAGAAGAAAGTTGAGCGAGTACCATCGGGTTCTAACAAGACCGCGGATAAGCATAAGTTAGCCCGCCTTGAGCTCAATGCAGAAAGATGTAGATCAAAGAATGGCTAGAAACTGAACAACAGAGAGCAGAACGTCTTGCAAAGGTAGCAGAAAGAGCCAGATTGAGAAGATCAACTGAAACTGAGGAGCAGCGATTGCTACGTCTACGTACATCTGCGGACAGGAGAAGACGAAGTGCACATAACAGTTCAGAGAATGAAATTTGTCAAGGCAGCAAATATAGCTTTACTTCATGCGGGAAGCGCTCGGGGAACAAAACCACGGTCAGTACGTCTTTTTGAGATCCTTATTCAAATACCGAAACTTCTTTGAAAATCTTCACTCACACCGAAAAAGACACCTTGGGTTAAGGTTAACGTTCACAATCCTTATGGGAATGTTTCGTCTCCTTTTGTTACTGCTGCGATTGAGGGCGTAGTTGAGGTCTGATTTTGTATTACATCAGTGGCGGCAGTTACAATAGAACCAAATCTAGGTTGAACAACAACATTTGGGCACGAGTGTTACAACGATTTTGGAAACGGCAGAGGCGCATACCGTAAATAGAATTGAGGTTCGATTGATTAAGTCCTGATATCGCTTTTTTAGATGGATCTATCTCAACAACGGACCGAACATGCTCTTGCAACTACACCTCTTATGCAATGTGTAGCAGCAGAAGTGCATGTGAACGAGAACCTCGACTTCAAAGATTTACAAGGGACTCATACTTCTGAGCGTGATGAAGTATGTCGAAATGAAGATGCCTCGATGGTTAGCATCAATGTGCTTTCAGAGGATTCACTAACTGAGGTAGGCTTCCTGCTACCAGATTGAAGTTTAGTTTCTGAGAACAGCTGTGCATACGGTTGCATTGCAGTTTTCAATTAAAAGGCATGAAAATATAACGCCTGCCAATTCTGTCACAGACGTAAACGAGATTACTAATGAGACCAACACTTCTGAACATCGAAGGAATAACTCCAATGAAGTGGAAGAATTTGAAGGAGGTACAACTGTGAACCAGGTACTTCAGCTTACAAAAATTTTGCGTTCCTTCCCATATAATAGTGTTTAGATGAGATTTATCCCAAAATATTACGGTTTCGCCGAAGAAATCCTTGCAATCTTGGAATTGCGCTAACAGCCAACGATACAGAGGAAAATTACTTAGGTCCAATGAATGTAAACTGCAACCACTGTGGCGCTCTCTTCTTCGCCGGCGAGGCGAAGAAAGACAAAGGAAGCTACAATATCTGCTGCAAATTCGGCAACGTCTCCATAGATCTATTTTCGGAGTTTCCAGAGCTTATCCGTTCCTTTTATACTGGAACATCCACTCTCTGCAAGATTTTCGCGACAATATTCGATCTTACAATAGCGCTCTTGCCATGGCTTCAATGGGCGCACAAGTGGATAATCCGCGCGGTACCGGTCCATACTGTTACAGGATCCACGGCCAGATTTATCACTAAGTTGGCCCTTTGAAAGCAGAGCGAGGAATTCGTCCACAGTTTGGACAAATATACATACTGGATACGCTGCCGCTGCTGAAAGAAGCGGAAACCCGATAAATTCACAGTGCAATGCTATTGTAATGCATCAATTGACTACATGGATGCACGCTAATAACAGCTATGCAGCTTCACTCAGAATGATGGGTGAAGTGGCTGCGGACGATGAGCGACGTGCCCTTGCCGAGGGAAAGCAAACACCAACTGTCCGCTTGATCTTCTACGACTCCGGTAATCTCGATCGTCGTCGCTACAACATTCCCGTTGCCAACGAGATCGCGGTTGTCTACGTCGGCGAAGATAACGATGTTCCGTCGAACCGCGCTCTAGCAATTCATTACAAGAGAGGTCGCCTAACTAGAATTCCCGACATTGACGGCAGATGCGATCCACTGACCTATCCACTATTGTTTCCAAAGGGATGACTGGGATGGCATACCAATCTGAGAAAGAACCCAAGTAGTCGCATCCGTGCCAGAATAACACAGCGCAAGTTCTAATCCTATTTGCTTGCCGTGCGTCCATCTTTCAATCCGCTGCATCACGCCGGTAAACTCATGCAACAGTTTGTAGTCGATGCATATGTCAAGATCGAGCAAAACCGGCTAAATTATACGCGCTTGCACCAAAAGGAACTACGAGTGGACAGCTATAGAGGACTCATAGATCATCTGGCAAGTGATAACGTAGATGGACCGCCGGGGCAGCGAGTAATTTTACCATCTTCATTTCCTGGCAGCCCACGAGCCATGCACCAATCTTACCAAAATGCGATGTCCATTGTTGCAAGGTATGGAATGACTA